AGAAGGGGCTGGAAGGCAGGAAAGGGGACCAAGTGTGTCTACAGTTGAGCCCTGGGATCCACAGGTGGGGATGAGCTCTCTCCATCTACCCAGCCACCAGCTTGGCGACTGAGTAGGGGTAGCACTGTCCACCACATCTGCTGAGGGGCTGAATGGGTTTGGTATCCAACAAGGGACCTTTGCTGTGCTGGTCTCAGGCCAGTTGTCCCCCCCCCCCCGCCCTTACTCCTCAGCTTTTTTCCACAATCTTCCATCCAGTCCCGCAGAAAGTCAATGTGGTCCCATATGTCAGAAGAGGAGACACAATGAGTGAGGGAAGAAAGTCAGCAAGTAAAACCCAACAGAAGTATCCTTACCTGGGATGCAGCTCAGCCGCGGAGAGCTTGCCTAGCGTGTGAGAGGCCCTGCAGTTGCTGACAATGTTCATGTGGATATGTACGCATGTGTGTGCATACAAGTGTGCACAGACGCACAGACGCGCATGTACACATGCGAGTGCGCACACACGCACACACACAGAGAGTTTCCATTTCTGTTAGTGATGAGTGGCATGGTGGTGACAGGCTGGTAGTGTCATTTGATAGGCTGCTTGAGGGGGGTCACTCTAAGGAGAAAACCCCACAGCTGACTAGGAGTCATTCCATGAAGTACCCAGGAAGACACACTCTAGACAGAGGAAGAGCACATTTTCTTACTTCAAAACGAAGAGAAGAGACCTATCTACCTCCTACAGCAGTAAGAATCAGGTAAAGGGATTTTTCAAGCTCTCCCAAACTTTTCTCAAGGCTCATCAACTCCAATCCCAGATGACCTAGCACGCTTTGATGCTTTAGATTTAGGGTAGAGCTATGCCACAAAGCCTGTGCCCCGAGTAGTTCCCACCCGTTTGGGACAGTCAGTACAGACTCCTGTTTGAGGTTGTTGTAACTACTGAGTTTGCATCGTGTTCTGGAATGTTCCTCTTCTTTATTTTTCTTTCACCAGTCTCAATTGCCAGAAGAGGAGAAGAAGAAGAGGGATGAAGAGGAAATGAGAAAGAGAATGTTCTATAGGTTCACCACGATAAAGAACCGGGCTCAGGACTTTCGAGCGAGAAAAGGCTGGGTGGGCGGGCTGAAGTCCAATCTCCTTATAGGTGCTTACCCTAAGCTGCACAGCGTACCACCCTGCTCCCTGGTCTCCTCACCTGCAATGGACTCAGCAGTACTACCTGTTAGGAACTTTGAGAATTCGCTGAAGTGAGAACACCGGACACAGGAGCTGCGGGGAAAATCAGTTCTCAATTACTACTTCGAGTTTTTAAGCTTCATTCAATTGATTGATCAATAATTATTGAGAGCCTACTGTGTGCTAGGTTTCCTTCTAGGGCTAGGGGAAACAACACAAAACTCTCTCTCCCGTTTGTACAGGGGAGATAATAAATGAGCAAAGTGGTACTATAACAGGTAGTCATAACTGCTATGGAGACAACACAGGGAAGAGAGAGGTGTGAGTGGGGGTGGGGCGGAGAGGAAGGAACCAACAGTCTAGACATGCTCTCAGCCGAGCAGACAGGAGGTGCAAATGCCCAGAGGTGGGATCATCCTCGCTTGCTTGTTTCAAGGAACAGTCAGGAGGTCAACATGACAGAAGCTAGTCAGAGGGGGGAAGAGTGGCAGAGATGACATAGAAAACAGGGGGTTCCGTCTTCTCAGCTGTCTCCAGAGCCAGGGCTCAACAGACACTTGAGAAGAGCTTGAATTTGGTGGTACTTCCTCTCAAGTGGCTGGCAGGGCCCTGGAGCTGAGGACCAGGGGTGATTTCCACCCAAGTCTGAGCATGGGGCCTTTAACTCTCCTTCCCACAGTGCTTAGCGTGAGATGTACAGGGGCTCTAAGACTCTCAGACTTGGATGTGTCATTTCCAGAAAAAAACAGAATTCATTCAGTCTTATGAAACCAACCCTGTCTTTTCAATGTGAGTGACTGTCGAGGGCTCTACACATTTGCAGTGGACCCTTGTTTACCATGGCTTTCGAATTTGGGCGTTTACTCACTTGCTGGAGTGAATTTGTAACCCACAAATCAAAGTGCATTGTGCTTGCTGGTCAGTTTTAGACAAGCGTACAGCAGGGGAAACCTTGAGCCACCTTTCAGGAGCATTTCCGGGGGGAGTGAAGCCAGGCAGCGGCTTCCTTTGTGCGTCCATTGTTGACAACAAGTGCCTTTTGTGTGAGCGACTTAGCGCGGTGCTGTTTGGATGTTTTCCATGCGCGTGCACTCATGATTCTGCTGTTTGAAACAGTTTCCCGAGCAGGCTGCATGCTCTCCAGCATTCTTAAGCGCAACAAGCTGCAGTGTGCTTTACCGACGGGCGTCGTGTTTGACAGGTTCTGCTCAGCTCTGCACTACGAGGCTGCTGGTGGAGGATCGAGATTGATGAGTAAGTATGTGGAATAAGGTGGCTTGAACAGAAACGCATGCAATGGGATTATTTATCGATTGACAGGTGGAAATATAACCAGAGGCTGAGAAGATGACCAGATCCTAACCCTGCACCTCAGTGGTGGTTCTGAATCACAGCTGGTGACTTTATAGAAAACAGGGACCCTGGGATAATAAAAGCTGACTGCATGGGGCCTATTGCTTCCCCACAGAAGTCCACTGGGAATGACAAAATAAGCATATTAGCTTTACTCCACGCCTGCCAGCATCAGGCATCAGAATTTGAAAGAGTCCCTTCTGATTTGGTAGACAAAAGGGCTATCTCACTCTGTCAAACGTTTCTGGACTCCAGGTAAGGGTGGATGCGTGTAGTGGTTTGAATGAGAATATCCCCCCTTAAACTCGGGCATTTGAACACAGGCTCTTTGAGGGTGCTTAGGAGATGCCGTATTTCCAGGACAGCATGGGGATAGACTTTAAGATTATAAAAATTTTTGCCCCACTTCCAGTTTGCTCTCCCTGCTTCATGCTATGGTTGGAGCTGTGAGCTCCCGACTCCTTCTCCTGCTACCACGCCTGCAGATTGCTGCCACACCTCTGCCCCACCACGATCCACTCATATCCCTCTAGGACAGTAAGCCAAAGAAAACTTCCCTCTGTAAGTTGCTTTGGTTTTGGTGTTTCATCACAACAGCAGAAAGGTAACTAGTACAGTGTGTCTTCTTGTTTCCAGGACAAAATTTGGTGACACTTTCAAAGAGGAAGAAAGGACCAACGTGCTACTGGACGACAGAATAGATCGCAGGGTTTGCTTCAAACCAACGGAAACCACGGTATGTGCAAGCAAAGGCCAAGCTTCCTCTACACCTTTTCCCTGAGGAAACAGAGCCAGCTCTGTCTGATGTTGTTGACTCAGAAAAGTTAGAGCGCAATTCTCAACCAGACGTTTCCCATCAGGAGACAGCAACTGCTCACTGGATGTGTGTGCTCGGCAGCTTTCACAACCTCAGTGTCCTCCTTTGTAGAGATAGGGACAGCAACCTCATTTCCTCGTCTCAAGCACTTGCCAGGTGGGTAAAACAAGTCAGTAGATGAAGAGAACTGAGAACAAAGCTTGGCAGAGTGTATTAGCTTTGCGCGTGCTCCCAGACTCTCCACGACAGTCTAATGGCTGCTGTTCTGGAATGCTCAGTGCTCTTCTCTGTGGGGAGTATGGCTTAGCAGACAAAACTCGGAAGAGTAGTCAGGAGTTCTAGTGCTGTTTGCGGTTTGTTGGACTCTTGGGACCTCATCTTTACCTGTTAAAAATAGAAGCTACATTTGGGCAGTGCTGGTGCATGCCTTTAATCCCAGCACTTGGGAAGCAGAGGCAGGCAGATTGCTGTGGGTTCAAGGCCAATCTGGCCCACGGAGTGAGTTCCAGAACAGCCAGGGCTATGCAGAGAGACCCTGTCTTGTAAAACAAACAACAGCAAAACAGAAGCAACTGTGGCACCCTCCACCACATCCTCACATCTGTTACAGGCCTTCTAAGTATCCTGCAGCATCCCATGGGCTGTGGTTACTAATTGCCAACAAGATTCACACCCAAGAAATCCTTAAGCCATACAAGCAGCAATGACTTAAAGGACAAAACCCAAGCTGAGGACAACTGGAATGTCCCCACAGCATAGAGAGGGAAGCAGCAGCTTGGAGGCCATGGGCATTTTTCTGAGGTCCTGGGGCTTCTGAGAGAATGCCCTTTTGGACAGATAGTGTTCTTCCTGTGGGGTAGGAGGGGCTTGGTTTGGGTTCTCCACCTCCTGTCTGCAGGAAGTCTATGATCATTGTGGGTTGGGGAACGGAACTGACTTTGTAGGTGCAATTGGCTTCATCTTGATGTGTTGCTGTTCCTCCAACAATGCTAGCTCACGGACAGTGCTACAGTGGACACAATGGACATTCCTACATTGCAACCTTGTACTTACCACTTTTCATTTTTTTTTTAAAGTACTATCCTTTGAGCTGGGGGAAGGAGGGCATGCGCCCACACATGCTCCACCACTGAGCGTATCTTCTCTGCTTCCCTCCCCATTATTTTTACTTCCTTTTTTGGAGGCAGGGCTTTGCTGAGTTTCCCAGGCTGCTCTTGAACACACTCTGTAGCCCAACTGGGTCTTGAATTGTTATCCTCCTTCCTGAACCTCTTAAGTAAATGAGATTACTGGTGCACACCACTAGGCTTAGCTATGCGTTACCTCTTTTGAACGGTCACCTCTCTGTTCTCATGAAGAAAATGACTGAGTCACTTCCATCATGCTTCCAGAGGAGGTTTCTCTGGTCGGAGCGTGTGGACAGAGCCCACGTTGGCCTACCCTTCTTTCTGTCTTGTTCTGAAACCATAATAAACGAGTCTTTTGTGGGAGGCTTATACTCTTTGCACGGTTGTGCAAATCTGAATTTTTTTTCACAACTACCTGGGCAACTGGCTGGTGAGTGTGCTACCCGCCACCCAGGCACGGCTGGACAAAACGATCTAAGGCCCCTCTGAAGTACGAGTCTAATTAGTCTTAATCAATAAAATCCTGGAGTCAGATATTAGGGTTCAAAGACCAGAGAAGCAGAGCTGCAGCCACCAGAAACCTCTTTCCTCTACTAAATCTCAGACCAAATGGGGGCTCCTGTTTCTATGAATCCTCAGACTGAATGAGTGGGGGTCCTGTCTCCATGAATCCTCAGACTAAATGGCTGGGGGTCCTGTCTCCATGAATCCTCAGACTGAATTGGGAGAGGCTCCTATCTCTATGAATCTTCAAACTGAATGGGCCTTAGATCCCTCCTTATATTCCTGTCTCCACCTCCCTAGCGCTGGGATTAAAGGCTTGTGCCTCCCAAGTGCTAGGACCAAAGGTGTGAGCCACCACCATGGGGCTCGGTTTCTCTTTTCGACAAGTTCAATCTCATGTATCCCAGAGTGACTTTGAAGCCCTGATCTTCCTGCTTCTTCCTCCCAAGTGCTGGGTGGGATTATAGGTGTGCGACACCAATGCCTGGCTTTCTAGGCTTAACTAGTGGTTAGCTCGGCTCTCTGATCTCTAGGCAAGCTTTATTTGTCAGAACGCAAACAAAATTTCATACAATACTCCTCCCTGGCTCTTCCCATCCTGAGCACAGCAAGCTTGCTGAGGCCCCTTTCGTGCAGCATGATTCTTGGCTATTTGACCCAAGGAGATTCAATTCCCCATCGCCTTTCCCATGCAGTCACAGGTGCCATATTGAGACGTCAGTTTCTGTTTTCCCTCGGTCTTGGCTCTTTGGCTGTCGAGGACCCTGGTCCTATCCTTTCAGAATCTGAAATGAATTTCATTGACTCATATCACTACCAGTTCAGTAAGAATGGCCTCCCCAGGGCTGTTCTGTAGCTGCAGTCTGTTTCAGGACCCTTGCCTGTCTGGGGAGGAGGGATTGTGGGAGAGAAATTAGTGCTGCCTTTGTGCCCGGTGTGTCTGTTGAGTTTAGCAGCGAAGCAGACATGGTTAATAATAGTGTGTCTGTGTGTGGGGACAACCAAATCCAAGTGCAGAAATAAATGCATCTACTAGTAAACAAAAAAGACTGAGACTGCAGGAAGAGTCCCCATGAAGAGACCTCCTGCAGGGAGTCATCCCTAGTGCGCATGTGGAGGCTCTGTCCGCCTGCTGCTGGTACAGCCTAGACTGTCGCTCTTAGTACTATGATGCGGAGCTCTTGTTTCTCAGCAGACCAGGCATTTTCTTGACTTCGGATTAATGTGGGAGGGGCCATCCCACTATGGGTGGTGCCACCCCTGGACGGGCGCTTTTGGGGTATCTAAGAAAGCAGGCTGAGCATGAGCCAAACATGAAAGCCCAGAAGCAGGCTCCTCTGTGGCTTCTGCTTCCCTTCCTGCTGGTTCCTGCCCTGCCTTCCCTCACTGGAGGACCGTGACCTGGAAGTGTTAGTCAAATAAACCTTTGCCCCTCCGTTTTTGCTCTTTGTCTCTATGCGTCCCCACCTTGCCACCGCTCTGGGATCTCAGATGAGGGCCTGTAAGCGGTGTTGGGGATCCAAACTCAGGTCCTCATGGCGTTTTACTCACCGTATTTCATACCGTGGCTGCTGTGACTAGCGCTGTGGCGAGCATGGGTGTAGGTGTCCGCTACACACCGCTTCCATTTCCTTCGGCTGCACAGTGGTTGGGTACCAGAGTCATATGACCAGCTTATTTTTCAGTCTCCTGAGGACTGCCCGTACTGCTCTCTGTTACAGGGGCACTGACATCCCCCCACCCAAGGCACATGAGTGTTTACCACTCCCCATTTCCTCCTCAGAGCCATTCTAGCTGCTGTGGGCGGAGGAGGTCGAGGTCCACATTGCGGAGACAAGGTCTGATGGGCTCTGGGGGAGAATCGCTGGCCTAGGACTGGTCACTCTGTGTTTCTCCTTAGTTCTTCTGAGTCTTAGCACCACACTCACGTACACACACACACACACACACACACACACACACCTCTGAAGAGAAACACTCTAGCTGTCTGCATCCGCTCTGACACTGAGAAGAAAAGATGTGTTCTAGTCCAGGGGTAGGAGATGGACAGAGAACCTCCCTGCTCCCCTACCAGCCCTCTTTATGACACTGATTCATAGTGAAAAAAGTAATTTTAAACTATCAGTGTTCATTTGCAACTCCTATTAATCACACGCTAATAGCCTCCCAATTATTAAATTATAGAGACATGTATTCCCTCACCCAAACAGAAAAATTATTTACTAAAATAAATTAACATATAGAAAAACCTTCATTCTACGAAGGCTGGAACTTAACATAATGAGTTTATCAGGCTTCGAAGAAACCAGTCAGGCGTTTTAGGGTGAAATAAACAGCGATCTCAGTGAGCTTATCCCTGAACGCCCGAGTCGCTTTCTGTTCCTTTAATAAACACAGATCAAGTTGTTTATCTGTCCCATATAATTTATCCAGAGGCTCTGCTTCACATTTAAAAGCCTGGGGAGGGGTGGGGGGAATATATGTTCTTCCAGCTTCCTCTTTTTGGTCCCCAAATTTGCTCATTTTGAGTGCTCTTTGTTTTTTAATAGGCCTGTCAATCAGCATGGTACAGTGCACAGATCTGATCTACGCTGACAATGTTCTTGTCAGTAGGAAATGCATTTCCAGGACATCAGCCTTAGCAGGGTAGGGGGAGCCAGTCAAGGGGAAACGATTATGCAAATTTAAATTTTGTGCTCTCTGGAGCCCCTGCCACAGCCTGGGAGAGGATAAAGGTTTAGTTCCTATCTCTTTCTCCAGCGGCAGCATTCTCTCCTGCCACAGACCCTCTAGGGGATTGCGGAGATATTCAAGCTTCTCCAAAATGACCCCGGACATACGGTTGGGAAAAGGGATCAAGGGTAAGTTGCTCAAATTCTCTTGTTTTTGTGGCACTCACAGAGCCACTGAGCCACCCAAATACTTAGGCATTGCATCAGCATTGACCAAAGGACATTGGTTCAACAAGCCTGTGATAACCTATGTGCTTCAAAACCTCTAAGAAGCAGGCTGCAGAGATAAATGGCTCAGCTGTTTGGAGTGTTTACTGCTCTCACAGAGGATCATAGTTCATTGCCCAGCACTCACACAGGGTGGCACACAAATGCCTGGAACTCCAGCTCTGGGGGCCCCAACCCCTTCTTCTGGCCTCTGTGGGCACCACACTTACCTAAATGTACTCACACACAGACATCCACACATACATGTACTTAAAAACAAAAATAGAATGTCTTTAAATGATAAGAACGATTTGAAATGTTTTCACTGCCCCAAAAGTGTTGAGTATGTGAGGTAATGGACAAGTTAATTATCTTGATTTAGTAATTCCCTGATGTGCATGCATTAAAACATGGCATTTACCCCAGAAGAATATTTGATTATTTCTCAGTTAAAAATAGCAATAAAGAAGCCAAACATAAATTTTAGGATATAATACAAGGATCTTATAGCTTACCTGGTCTCCTTAAATATGTATATCGGACATCTACTGCAGCAGGCACCAGAGTGGGAAAGCGAGGGAGACATCATAAACTCACAGCAGCTCTATTTGCAGGGCTTGAAAGAGCCACGGAAGAGCTTGATTTTGGAGATGCTGGGTGAAAGAATGTGCAGATGCTGTATCATGGCTTGTGGAGGGCCATGGGTGTATTAGGACCACAACCTCATGTAACTCTCTGCTCTCGTGACTCACTGGGCACAGAGTGAGGGGTGCCTCTCCTGAGGAGGTGACATGGGGACATATCTTCCCCTCTTGATGGCTTCCTTTGACTCTCACTTGCTCTGATGAAGCAGCTGGCATGTTGGGGGACACTCTGGGGGGATAGCGAGGTCTAAGCAGTCGATGGTGGCCTCTGACTAACAGTCTGTGGCAAAGTAGAGGCTCATTGCAACCGTCACCAGAATAAACGTGAAGCAGGTCCTCCTCGCTAGCCTTGGGAGCACAGTGGCCCCAGTCCGAATCTCCAGAGCGGCCTGTGAGACCCAGGTAGCATCTCCAAGATTCTTGTTCCAGACACTGTGAGCCACTGAATGTCATCACATGGGAATTAAAACTACCACATGTGTCCATGCTGTTTTCATGGCAATAGATATGAATACAGGGATAGGGGAAGGAGAGAGAGGTTATGAACCAATACACACAGAAGGGAATGACAGTTGGTGACAAGCTGTTACTGATTGTTTTTTCTTTCATTTATTTAGTTGTTTTACATCCTGACCAAGGTTTCCTCCCTCCCTCCTCTCCTCCTATCTTTCCCCCTCCTCTCTATGCCCCCTCCATCCACTCTTCTGTTTCTGTTCAGAAAGGGGCAGGCCTCCCATAGGGTTCAACAAAGCACGGCATATCAAGTTGCCATAAGACTAAGCTCCTCCCCTTGTATTAAGGCTGGGCAAGGTAACCCAGTATGAGGAGCAGGTTCCCAAGAGTCAACCAAAGCATTAGGGACAGCCCTGCTCCCATCGTTAGGAGTCTCACAAATAGACCAAGCTACACCACTGTCACATATATGTAAAGAGCCTAGGTCAGTCCCATGCAGGCTTTGTGCTTCTTGGTTCAGACCTCTGAGTTCCTATGAACCAGCTTAATTGTTTTTGTGAGTTTGCTTGTGACATCTATGAACACTGTAGCTCCTACAATCCTTCCTCTCTCCCTCTCTTCAGCAGGAGTCCTTGAGTTTGATGTAATGTTTGGCGGTGGTTCTTTGTATCCATTTCCATCAGTTACGGGATGAAGGCTCTCTAATGACAATTGGAGTAGTGTCTAACCTAATCACAGGAGATGGCCAGTTCAGGCTACATAGTCACTATTTCTAGGAGTCTTAGCTGGGGGGAGGGTCATCCTTGTAGACTTGTGGGAGTTTCCTTTGCGTCAGGTTTCTACCTAACTCTGAAAAACGTCCCTCTTTCCAGCCATCCCTTTCAGTACTCTCCCCCATCCCCCCAACCTGATCCCTCAAGGTCCCGTCTCTCCTCGCCCTTGTCCACCCAGGAGACCTCTTCTATGTCCCTGCCCAGGGAGATCCATGTATTCCCTGCTTTGGGCCTCCCTGTAGCCTGTGCTACTGATTGTTAATGGAGGGTGATAGATAACCAGAGTCAGCGTGGCTGGTGGAGGAACACACGGGATGCAGTTTTACTAGGATCGGCACTTCTCTCCCAGGTGGAAGATTCTTGGTGAGAGCAACTCCATGTCTCTATTATTCTGTCCTATATTTAGAAGAAGACGTTTTCTGCTGGGCTGCCAACTGTATCCCTAAGGCTGCATATCTTGGGTCCTGGTTCTTCCTTCTGGGCTGACAAGCATCTATAACCCAGACAGGCGCTCTCTCCAACCCCTTGTCACGCTGGTGTACCTACTGCATCATGCCACATCCTTCACGTGCATGACAAGCCTCTCTGGTAACTGAAAGTGGCTGCCAGAGACCATCTGAGCATCTTCATCCCCAGGCTACACATGCCCACCTCCCCAGCATCGCACCCCACTCCGGGGATTTCCTCTCTGTCTCCACTGGCCTCGGTTATCACCTTTGTAGAGGGATCCCCAGAGGATGACTCCTGTAGCCGCTGCTAGAGGTTGTTCTGCGACGATGCTGTCAGTCCCTTGAGTGCAGCATGCTTTCTGCTTCCCTGCCTCTTATCTGCTTTCTTACCTCTGCCTTCCGTCATGCTGAGACAAGGCCTGGGCCTTTTCCAGGCACTATCTTCTCTTGCTCTCTATCTGATGGCTCAGAATCTAATGTGGACCCAAATGCAGGACCATCTGGAGCCGTTCTTTCTTCCCTACTTTCTAAACAAATCTGTCATCAAGTCCACCGAAGTTTTCTTCTCAGGGTGTCTTTCCTCCTGTCACGTTCCAGAACCATGTTCCCATCAGATCACCCCGAATAATCCATCCCAGGAGACTGGCAACATCACCACAAGACTTTGTCTAGAGGTAGCTAGACATGGAGCCGTCCTCTGGGGACCCGCTGCAGAGGTGATAATTGAGGCCCAGTGGAGAGAGGAGAAGAAATCCCTAGAGCAGGCAAGGATGCCGGGGAGGCAGGCATGTTCAGCCTGGAGATGAAGATGCTTAGTTGGCATGTGGTGGCCACTTTCAGCCAACAGAGTGAGAGAGAGGTGTGGCATGATGCCCTAGGGACCTTAGCAACACAGGAGCAGGTGGAGACTATGGAGAGGGTCCAAATAAGAAGAGGAAGGGGAATGTTATACAAGGGATAATGTCAAGCATCATGAGTATAGTGAAGATAACTCAGACCTGGTCCTTCCTCACGGACTACGAAGTTAGCAAGAGCGTGAACGCCCGCAATCATGGGTTTGCATTAGCACCTACAGTGTACCTTGTCTGGCTAGGTTAGATCCACGACAGTTGGAGCTAAGTTCTTCCCAGATGAACTGGGCAGGGGAAGGGGGGCTTGGCAATTGTTTTGATAATTAGCAGCAGTAAATGAGAAGACTGTCTAGGAAATGACACTCTCTCACATACTATCTACCTCCTTAGGAACCAGAAAGCTTCTGGACTGGGACCTCATCCATGGATCTAACTTCCAACCAGAAGTACCACAGTAAGGCCAGAGCTGGGGAAGCCTTGTCAGGGCTTGCCCCTGTGTTGTTTGGATGCTGGAAATTCTCTCATCATAGCCTGTCTTATTCTTATTACCTGTAGCTGATCTGCTTCAAGTATCTGTATTGTCCTAGGTTGTCTGGCTTTTGGGAGTGAGGCTGTCCTGGCTGTGTCTGTGCAGGGAGCCAAGGCCATGTAGGCAGTGCCCATGAGGTCTGTGACCAGACACTGTCTGAAAGCTCTTGAGAAAGACCCTAGGCCAGGAATGAGTAGGGTGAGCATGATGGTGACTGGGAGGACTGCTGGTGGGGTGCACATGCTCACTGGGCCATGTTTATAACAAAGCAGAGTTAAAAATGTTCTGAGCAAGCTGGGTGTAGTATATGTCTATAATCAGAACAC